ATTATTATTATTATTATTATTATTATTATTATTATTATTATTATTATTATTATTATTATTATTATTATTATTATTATTATTATTATTATTATTATTATTATTATTATTATTATTATTATTATTATTATTATTATTATTATTATTATTATTATTATTATTATTATTATTATTATTATTATTATTATTATTATTATTATTATTATTATTATTATTATTATTATTATTATTATTATTATTATTATTATTATTATTATTATTATTGTCATTATATCAATAATGTCATTATTATTTTATTAGAGAATCATTGTCGCAACAACAATGTGGCTTGTGAAGCCAATGTGATAGAGCTTATATTGCGACGATATGTAGAGAGGAAGAGTACGTGCAAACGAAAGAAGAACAGGCACGTCGTCAACTTCATTGAACGAGGCGAGAGATTGCGCGAGTCTATAATTCTGCGATTTCTGGCATATGTAAATATCTGTACAAAGGAAAGAAGGGAAGAAAATCCGCGAAATACTACGAGAAAACACAAAGAACTACATATACATACACGCATACACACGTATACACACGATCTTGTATATTTACTTATCACACTTAACTATCTAATAGCGTACGAATATATCCACGCAGACTAACAGCGATACTGCACGTTGACTGCACGCTGAATTTTCACTTGTCGCAGTCAGCATCGCGCATTTTAAAAACAAATTCGCGCAATCAGTCACGAAATGATGAGGTAAGAGAAGCAAGCAGAGAATTAAACCGCGTATTTCATTAACTGCTCGTTGCGATTCGTGAAAATGCAGCGTTCGGGCTATTACGAGCGGCGCAAAGGGAAGAACACATAATTACGAGAATTTGCCGTAAATTATCGATGCCTAGAAGAGACATTTCGAGGCGATTCAGCGTTAAGTGCGAAAGGACGAGCGAATGGATAAACGCGTGTGTGCGAGATGAATTTCATAAGAGAGAGAAAGAGAAACAAGTCCTCGAATTATTACGAATCAAACTCTAGTATATTTATCAAAATAAATTTTAATCTTCAATTTAAAAAATTCTAGTCCACAGTTATAAAAAAAAAAAAAAATGGAAACAAACGCGAATGAGATATATTGTACGAGGCAGAAGCGCAAGGAGTTTGTGCGAGACGATCGCTGTAGAAGGGCATTGTTAAACGAAAGAGAGATCAGTGATTGATTGATTTTTTTCCCCCGACTTCCCAAACCTTTTATTCTTTCTTAAATTTTTCATGAATCGTCACGACGAAAGTCGATCGGACCGGAGTATCGAATGTGTACATATTATTGCTATACTCGTGCGATTACGTCTCGTAATTTAATTGACGCTGATTCCGCCTGTCGAGGAGTGATCCGAGTCTCACAGAACGTATAATATAAACGATATAAACGATCATGTTAGACGAGATTACTTCGGGCGAAGATTTCGTCGATCGTTCGTATGTCGAATGATATATGCGACTGCGATAGAGAAAGCTCCGGATGCGAATAGATTAGTAGATAAAGCAGGGAGAAAGACGGAGAACAAACGTGCGATCTCAAATCTTCGAACTATACCAAACTAAATTATTTCACGGTAATTATTTCACGATCGAGCATTAATCTAACATTCATCCTTTCGATTTTGGTTAACGATGCGGTAATCACGTAGATAATCGTCGATCCTCATCGATGACGAAGGTTCAATCGAGTCTCTCGTTCTATTATTGTAGATACGACACTAATATGATTCGTATTGGCGAGATGATTTGATTTTAGCTGTAATCGCGGCTAAACATATTTAATCATTCGACGGATCGACATCTTATGATTTATTATATGTATACACGATTATATGATTGTTTCCCTTTTCTTTATTTTCGCCGCGAACAAGCGTAACGCATATAGGTTCTTTGTAGATACCCGATAAATAGCCGATAGATAACCAATAGCTTTAATTATTTAAACGCGATACAGTTTTTATGTCGAGGATAAAGATCGACGACCGTCTAGAATGTGTGTACGACGGACATGTAATATAACGTAACGAATACACAAGTGCGTAACTGCGTGCGAATGCGTTAGCGTTATCGACAACGGCGGGAAGGAGAGAAATCATATCGTAAACCTAATAATGAATATTTTACAACAAAAGGTAATTGTAGATAGATACACTTCAAAAGCTGTTGAGGCCCCCAGGAGACGCATGAAGGAGAGACGTGCGCGTGCAATCCGAAATGCACACGCGCGGGCATACGATCAAAAGGGAAGAGTAAACAAACCACACATACGAAGGGACACTGTCATCCAGTAGTGAAAATAATGTATTAAACAAAAAAAAACAAGAAGGTTTACCTAAAGTAATAGTCTATTGATTTGTATTTCATTTTTTCGAACTGTATTATAGCTTAAAGAGTATCCTGTACATTGCATAAACACACGAGCACTATTGTTTTAAATTGTACGTTTATGATTATTATACGAAGATAAAAAAGAAATAAATAAGGTATACAAAGTATTGAAGATATATGAGAGATTTATTGACGATCTAATTTAAGGATCTTTAATATCTCCTTTACGCACACTGCGCGCGCGTTCTACACAAGTAAATTATTAGTATATATCCATATCTTCCATGAGAATTTTAAAAAGGTAGAACGATTTATTACAGAAAAATATGAATATAACAGATATATTGCCGCCTTGGAGACATTGAGAGCACGTGCTTATATTTTTTCTCTTTTTTTATTTTTCAACTTTGAAACATATTTCTCATGCCTCATTTCAAACTTTGACTATTATCTTTTTAATTAATTTTATATGTGCATGCTTATAACAGTCACCATGTTTTATGATTGGCAAATGAATACAGGTATTATTTTCATGGAGATAGAAAATGTTTTACAATATCTTAACTTTTATGCAATATATGAAATGACACGATTTATTAAGAAGTAAAACGACATGGGGCTCAAGTATCTCTTTCTTTTCAAATTATATATTACTGTAATTCAATATTAAAGATATGCACCAAACCAAAAAAAATTTATAAAAATATACATAATGCAAAGAGCACTCGATGTCTCAAACACTTTTAAGTGTTGGTATGTTGATTATTCTTGTTATTTTCGTTTATAGTAAATGAATCTTGCATTTTTATCGGTTTAAAATTCGTATTAGTTCTTAAACATGCAATAATACAATTCAACCACGAGATAAATGGAAGATTATCTTCATTGTATATACATATAATTATATTATTCATATCAATGTCTCCTTTCAACAATTTCTAAATTAAAAAATCTGTATTAAAAATAATATATATATTATGCTGCTAATTATTATATCCCATCTTTTCCCCTTTTCCAATCTTGCTTTTATATAACTTATAAATGACAGACTTTTGTTGCGATTATAAATGTTTTGCTACAATAACTAAAAGCTCTATGATTAATTAAAACGAATATTCTTTTCTTTCGTTCTTGCATGTCACATGCATTATATTAAAAAAAAAAAAAAGAAAATAAATTAGTTTGTATATGCATTAGAGAGAGATAGTCTACATATCTTCAAATTATTACATTATGCAAACGAAAAAATAATTAAACATAATGTTATTTTATACAGCTACAAAGAAGTAAATTAAACATGATATTATTTTATACAGCTACAAAGAAGCAAAAATAAATCTTGAAGTATATCAAATTATTATGTTTTAAAATGTCATAAAAATATTATTTTTTATCGTAATGTTTATTAGAGCGGCATCTTGGAGACAAATGAAGCAACGGTTCCAGAACACGAATTTTTATAATTTGCAACTGGTTACCTTCGATTGCAAATATAAATTTTATGCTTACTTTTATGATAAAAGTATTTTAGTCTTTCTATTTAATATATATTTGACATATATAAATATTGATCATACGTATATTTTCTCCCCTTTAAAATATAAAAAAGACATATTTATTTTATTAGATTTTTTTTAGTTATTGAAATTATACTATTAACCGCATACATGAGTATTTATAAATTTGCATTTTCTAATTTATAAATTTAGTTAAAAGTATACACTTTATAACTGACAACTTGAAAAATAATTACGACAAAGTATAAGTCCATAATTAAATAAAGTATTTTTACTATCTCTATTATGCTTTTTCTTGATATTTTCTCTAACATAATGTGTATAAACGTTTTCTTGCATCAATGTATGTTATCATTCTTTATAAAACGTTAAATATAAAAATTCAAACACAAAAGAAAAACGGATATAAAGATCAAGTACAGATATAAAATATTGCAAACGATAAGATACTATTATTATTACTTTATATTATCACAAAAATATACACTTACTGATTGCTGTCCGAAAACTGCAAAAAAATTCTTTTGCATTATTTCACATAACTATTTCTATACATTCAATTATAGAAGTTTTTAAATAAATATATACATATGAGAATGATAGAAATAAAATATGATGCTGTGAAAACGTACATATATCTGCTTGTTATTATTCCGGTAGGAAAATATGATAAATAATACAATGAAATGGATGAGAAAAAGAGCAGGTGTAATGTAACATAGACGCTGTTTCAATGTCTTAAGATTTAATTGACAATATGAAATAATGTATAATTAGATGAATTATTTGAAATTTAACTTAAATTTTAATTTTTAAATTGTGAACGAATTTGCTAAAAGGAAAAAATTATTTAAATTTTAAACAATATAATTGTCACATAACTGTGATTAAAAAAAAAAAGAACCGCAAGTTTACTGGTAGGAAAATATGATAAATAATACAATGAAATGGATGAGAAAAAGAGCAGGTGTAATGTAACATAGACGCTGTTTCAATGTCTTAAGATTTAATTGACAATATGAAATAATGTATAATTAGATGAATTATTTGAAATTTAACTTAAATTTTAATTTTTAAATTGTGAACGAATTTGCTAAAAGGAAAAAATTATTTAAATTTTAAACAATATAATTGTCACATAACTGTGATTAAAAAAAAAAAAGAACCGCAAGTTTACTTTGAAAAGTAAGCGCCGTTATCGTGCATATGAATGACAGTTAAAGAGCGAGTACCTTATAACACGTACGTTATGTCACGAGCACTAGCTTAATTATTGATACATTAATATTATTATTATCACTTGAATTAAAATTCATTATTTTGGCAACTTACGGTTCGATTAAAATTTAACATATATTTTTACATTGCCGCGCATAAATACGGCATTATTCTCACCGTAGTGTATCAATTAATTCGTATGCATTTCATTCTCGGTGTGGCTGACATATTACACGATTGTTGTATGTATGTGTCCCGTCTTTTTCCTTGATTTTATAAAAATTTATTTATACATGTATATATTTACGAAAGTAAGAAAATACGAAACGACACTAAGGAATTATTATTGAGATAAACGTAAACATATTATTTTAAATTACAAGGTTCGGTCCAAAGGGGTCAGGGTAATTCTTGAGCATAGGAGGGGCAGGGGAGAGTTAAAAGTTTATAAGAACTATTAATATTAAGGTAGTAATTATACAGAGATGATTTTTTGCTTTATGTATATGTGTAAATTAATTTTCTTTAGCTGTTTATTATGTAAAAGATGAATTGCGTGTGTATTTCTTTTATGTTCTCCGTTTTGATGGATCTGGATCATATGTTGGTGGCGGTGGTTTAATAAACATGATAGAGCAGCACGAGTTCTACTCTCGCGTTCACACACACTCTGTCTTCTTCTCTCTGCATAAGGATAGGTCAGGCTTATTCCGCTCTTAGTGGCACTGCTGTCCGTTAGCTTTATGCTGAGCATCGGTTTCTTTCTTACAGTGCTTACGGCTTTCCTATATTAATGTTATATATATAAAACAATGAAAGCAATACTGCTAATATTACTTACAATCATAAATAATGGAGACATTAGTGATTGTTTTCATAGAACTTACCAGAATTAAATAAGTCTTTCCATTTGTATATTTGTTCATCCCCTACAAACACTCTTCTTGGCTTTTTCTCACGCACCTCGCCACCTTCCTTTTAAATTCCGTATAACTTTCCCTCCACTCTTTCTGTAATAAGAGATAAATCACCATTACAAAAGAAAAGAAGAACAAAAAAATGCAATACAAATTTTTTTATATACACAAATTTATTACTTACGGCGGCATCCACATTAGCGGGGCTTTCATCATTAGGATCTGCGAGCATGCTAATAACACTTATCAGAATAGTTTCGACTGTGTGAACTGGTAACCACCGCTCGGATGCTTTCTCGTATCCCCATTTGTCATCACCAGGTTCATGCAGTATCGATATACACACGTCTCCATTTTTGTCAATGTTTGGATGCCATATTTCGGTTATAAATTTCATTCGTGGTGGCCTAAGTGGATATTCTTTTGGAAACTGTAAATGTGCCTTGAAGAAACCACCTTCATATAATGTATCCGGAGGTCCAATAATGAGTACTTCCCACCGATATATGTCATTGTCATCTATGAGGCCTGCAGAAAACCCTTCTACTGGGTTTTTATTTAATTCTGCAAAATAGAAATAGACATATAAATTTATGTAATTATTTTACAGGTCTATAGTTATTCAACATGCTAATATGTCTGGAGCATTTAATAATAAAAAAGAGAATACATTTAAAAAAATATAATAAAATATAATAAATAAATATAATAAAAATATAATAAAATATAATAACATAGTTATATTACAATAAATACAAAGAAAATATATAATATTCTGTTTCATATATAAAGTAACATTAACAATTAAAAATTATAAATTATACTATATCGCTTTAAAATAATAGTGAAGAGAAGCAAGAAATTGAATTCAAGATTGTATTAATTTATTTAATTAATAGAATAATTAAAACTTTCAATTTGTAATAAAAAGCTAAAAAAATATATATGTGTACATTATTATAATAAAAATACAACAGTAGAATAAGCAAGATATTGTTAAAAAAATTAAAATTAATTTCAAAAATGCTCCATACATTATAATCTCAAAACGACACATTCAGAGAACAAAAGAAAATTTATTACACGTGGGGGGAAAGTGTCAAAGCGTCGAGGTTATGTTTTCTATCAACAACTATCAAAAGAGCAGTATCATTCGAGATCATGCAACAACGTAATATATGTACGCGCGCGTGTACACATGTGTACGCTCGTACCAACTATGACACGTCAATGGGCAAGCGGCGCCGCATACTCCCATCCCCGAGAGACGCGCCGCGTACAGGTTAGGGTTCGCCCCATACGAAATAACCGTCGCATAAGAGCCGCGCGGTGAGTCAGCGCGAAGGAGACGAGGCACGAGGTAACTGACGCGACACGACGTTCTCTCCCTTTCTCTCGCGCACGCGGCGCGACTCCGTCGCACAAAGAGAAGCGAACTCCGGCCAAGCATTTTTCGTAGCGTCGATCTCGACTGGAACAGGGGAGCATGGCCCGAGGGCGGCTGACCTTCGATGGTCGTTGCACGGCGCGCTTTTACTCTCTCTCTCTCTCTTCATCTTTCGCACTCTCTTATATATATATATATGTGCGTGTGTATGTATGTATGTATGTATATGCACTCTGTCTCCCGTTTTTTCTTTCATTTTCTCTTTTTCGCTTTCTCGCTCGATATCTTTCTTTTTCCTCGCTCCCGAGGATAAACGTGTGCGACGTAGCAGTGACGCGGGTACGTTATAAATAACAAGGCCTGCAATTATTTTCGGACACGAGACGGCCTTCGTCCTCGACGTCGACGTCGTCGTCGCCGCGCGTGAAACCGACCCGCGGCCGCGGTCGGCGACCGCGGATACGGGGGGAGGGGGGGAGGGACAAGGCGGATCGAAGTCGAGCCTCGAGGTCGCGGCGTGTCGCCGACGACGACGGCGACGAGAGGGCGACGAGAGAGCGACGAGTTACGCCGCCGCCGCCGCTTAGGTTAACGTTATTCACGGGCGCAGCACACACAGGCTCTCCGCGAAAGAGCCGTATTGATTTTCACGCCCCGTATCTGTGCGCACGGCCGCGGCGAGCCGGCGAGGACGACGTACGACGCGATCGGCGTCGTCGCGTGCCCGACGTTTCCCGACGACGACGTGAAACGGGATCGTCGAGGACGACGTCGAGCCTTGGCCTCGGCACGACGGCGACGAGTCCTTCGAGAGCGCGAGTCACACCGACTACGGGATTCCTTGGTTCGGCCGCGATTCGCGTCTAACGCACTTAACACTCATACCGCGCTCACATTATACCTGCTAATTGTTTTCGTAACAGCAGCGCGGACTGTGGCTCTGACATTAATAAAAGTTCAGTTAAATAAGACTAAGACTGAAAACAATCACTTTTGCTTGACTGGAAAGATGGCTAGGTACGTCGCGGAAGCGGTGACTACGCATGCGTCGCTTGGCTAAACATATGTTCTTCCGTCTTGAGCTCTGCGCCGGTCTGATACACCGCGCTAGCATCGATGCACTCTATGGCAACCGAGCAAAGCTTTCGGCGGAGACGAGGAATTTGCGATTGTAGGTAAAACATGTCACTGGTATATGTACGTTAGCGATAGGTAACTGTGAACAGAGTCATACTGTGTGTCGATAAATGGTAAAACTATAATTATAACGTTAAAAATATTCGATATTTGATAACAAGTATTTGCAGGAAAAACCGATTTAAATTCTGAGATGTATAAATATAAATTTAATATATATTATATTAATTAATAATGACTCATGCTAATAGAAATGACATAAGAATTTTAGAGAATGCGTAGATTTTATTTTTATATTGTCTATTTTAAAATCAAATAAAACTATACACATGGATTATTATTTTATTTAAATAAAACTTGTAAACAAAAATTACTTATAATTATTTTACTTATAATTACTTTTTTAGAACAATTATGAAATATTATTTTAAGAAAGGCATACACACACACACACACTCACAATACGAAAGATATATGAGAGCAAATTATATTATAAATTTTATGACTCTCCTAATATATGATTAAAATGATAAAAATTAGAAATATTGATAAATTAGCAAAAACAAATTTTAACAAGTGTTAATGGAAATTGAAAAAATTTTCACGCTGGAATTAAAAAATCTTTTTTGACGAATATGCAGACGCATTTTGCGAAACGATGATGAATGAAGAAGATATTTAGATCTTTATAGCCATTTTTTCGCGTAAAATAAGTTTATCCTATCTAACAAAGAAACATATTCGATATGAAAAAAGGATAAAGAATAAAAATGGACGAGAACCGACGGTTATGTATCTTTGCCTTCTCGGCAATTTCGCACGGTTACATTCGAGATTTATGGCCCGATTTCGATTCCATTTCGCGCCGCGGTTTGTTTACTTATTGGCATCCAGAATATGTGCGCGGGCTGATGTTATGTCCAGGTTTGTATTTGTGCTCCGATGCTATCAGCCAGATTTATCTATTGTGCTATTGAGACGAGACGGCAGAATGGAGATGATCACGCGATGCGAAATTCGTCTTTCCATAAATTAACTTCAAATTCAAATATTTGAGGAGATATGTGTGATAATAATTTATGTATCTTTTATTTTTATATACAGATATTAATTTACATTTCTTGTGTGTTTTTGCAGAGATTATATCATTTACAGACTTGAAAAGTCTATTCCAAAAATCTTTCAAATATAAAGAAGTATTTCATCTATATATTAATCAATATTTTCAATACATTGCTAATTAATTATTAATAATAATTATAACGTAATAAATTAATTTCCATTATTATAAGCACATTTGATTATTATAGGCCATATAGGCAATCGATATATTGAGACAGTAAAATTAAACAAAATTTTCTTTTTTTATTATAACTTGACAAGAAAACATTTTTAGACCTATATGCTTATGTAGCATATTATTTTTTTTATCCCTATAAAATATTTTCATACAAGATATTGTGACATTTTTGATAGTTTAATTTGGAGACGTTCTATATCATAATAACTGCGACGTTTTATTCGCATTACATTTGCTTACAATTACAAAAATCGTTTTTATATCTTGAATGCTAATTTAATTTACCGTATCGATATATCTTAAATCAATCGCATACACAATACATACACCACCGGTATACAGTATATCTTTCACCAACGAGAATATTTCTATTACTATTATCGTTGCCTCTTAGTTACCTCGAGCGATATTAGTATTTATCGCGTGATTATGTCTTATACCGAATTATACAGGATTACGGCGATAAAAGATAGAAATCATTAATTTCAATCCCGTTGTATCATTGGGTCGATAGGTCCCGACGTATATTGCCTTCATAAATTTAGTATCGTCCATACACTGCAAATTATGATCGCGAGCGTGATGTATTGCCACGAGAAATTACTTTTATGTCATTATTTTTTCACATATTTTAACAGATGTGCAACGTAAATACAAGTAACAAAATTTATAAGATTTTTTAATTTAAAGCATTTGAGATGATCGACTTTTATAAACTCGTTCCTATTCAAATTTTTCATTTTCCAAATTTTTATCTGATATTTTTATCTAAATCAAAGAAAAGTTGAATATTTTTATTCTTTGGTTTACAGTTTACAGTATATATATTGCAAAAGGAATTAATATATATCATATACATATAATCACATCGGGTAGTAAGGCATATAATAGCGAATGGAACGAATAAAAAGATTAACAATTAGACACAGATCGTTACACCGACATACAATATCGCCGAAGATCTGAACGTTGATTAATTCACTCGTGTATGCAGCATAAAAATTACTCAGATGGATTTTCATCAAGGTCAGTATGTACCGCTAACGAACAATGAGGATTGTTGAGAATCATTATTCCGAAAAAAGCTGTCCACATATTAAATTTGCCTAAAAATGTATACAAGATGACTGTAAAATGTGATGATATTCCCTCAGACAATAATGACTCTTCAAGATTTTTGTGATAAGTCCTTTTTATTATCTCCTATTTGTAGGATACATTGCTTGACAAATGATTATACAGACGTACAATATCAGCAAATCGTTCGCTTTGTATTTTACAATTTCATCGGCCAACACTCCGCACTTCTTGCTCGCTCTCACAACTATTTACAGAGTATTAATAAGATTTTAGTTCTTCGGCATATAATATAAATTCGAGAGACTGTCCCCCGTGTATGTCTCTCCGATGTTCTAATTTCCCGCGTTTCAGATATAAGAATCAATTCCTTTAAAAAAATGTGTAATACACGGTAAAAATATTGTGCGTTTTTATTTCTAACGTCATCAGGTCTTATCAAGATGAAAATTTTAAACTTCATTCCAGATGCTTGTGTATCTTGCAGAAACGCATAATCGTCGAAAAAAAAAAGATGAATCCATGAGCGAACCTTGGAAAACTTTAACTATGATTAATATTCGCGGACGCAGCGAGTCTTTGTATAAGCGTATAGAAAACTTTGTTTTGATCAACGACGCGCGCAAAGTTTAGAGAATCAGACATTTATTAAGATTTTTTTCTGCTCTCGCAAAGAATTATCGAGATGATTTATGATCAGAACACGAGAATGATTACTGCCGCATTGTACGTTACTTAGCAAATGTCTCGTATTTTTTTCTCTCTTTTCCAGAATCTATAACAATAATTCAGAAATTTTAAAACTATTTATTCACTTAAAGTTTCTTATAAATTAGATACTTCCAAGTTAATTCTCTAAGGGAATGGTACTAGAAATTATTTATTACGAGGTGTTTGTAGACGAGCTTGATTACATTTTTCTCCCTGAGAGATGCTCAATTCAGAAAATAAAGATATGTCTTAAACAAAGTGTGTGTTTTATATTACGTACATATATAGCAGGAATAAATGCTCTCTAAGCTCTATTTAACGATAGAATAGCATCTCTGTTTCGGTAATCAAAATCAACATTCTTATCAGCTTCGACACGAATATTCCTCCATATACATTCTCGATATTTAATTTTCTCGACATTGGCGGAAGTGAAATGAACCGTCGATATTATAATGAAAAATGCATAAATTATGATTCTTGTTGTTCAACAACAAGATCTAACAAGACTTTTCACATTCATGTCTATTATATTCTAAGACAATATCATATTTACAAATGTGAGTGTTTCTTCTCATTGTCAATGAAAGCGATCGACAGGCGAGCCATAATGAGTACGACTCTATAATTGGACTTGACATTCTAACAGTAAATACTAATATAATAT